AGTAACACTACCTACCGTGCCGAAACAGATCAGGCATCGGCGCGATCGAGCTGTTCGATCGGAGCCCGTGAAATGCACGAGACGAAACGAGGCCAGAGAGGAGGACCAGGAGGGCCCTTGTCTTACTCCCGCCGCCTTCCGCCAGCCATCCGCCGCCTTCCGCCGATCCCGCACCCGCAGGGTGACGAGGAGCATGATGTCATGGGGAGTCACCCCCCCGTCCCCGGGTCGGCGGAGCTGCGAGCGCCCGCAGGATATCATCGTGGCCGTGGCCGACGTGACCCGGAGCAGGGCGAGACCTAGCGGGCTGTCAGAGTCCAGTGCGCGGGAGAAGAGGAGGAGGAGGAGGAGGAGGAGGAGGAAGAGGAGGAGAGGAGGAGAAGGAAGAGGAGTAGGAGGAGGAGGAGGAGGAGAGGAGGAGGAGGAGGGGAGAGGAGGAGGAGAGGAGAGGTGCTGCCATGAGAGGAGGAGGAAGAGGAGGAGGAGGAGGAGGAAGAGGAGGAGGAGAGATGCTGAGAGCAGGAGAAGAGGAGCAGGAGGAATGGGAGGAGGCCTTGTCCTGGGGAAAGCGCCGCTCCCCCAGGGCCGCGGCGGACGAACGGAGTCTGGTGCGCGGGGGAGGAGGCGGAGGAGGAGGAGGAGGAGGAGGAGGAGGAGGAGGGGGAGGAGGAGGAGGTGGAGGAGGAGGAGGCACAACCTAAGGGGCGATGAGTTCCCGCTGCATGCAGATCGGTGATTCCTTCGATCCAGCTAATCCTCAGTGCAAAAAATATGGCAACTACGAATGTGCACCCTATGCGCGAATGCGCAGTCTTAGCTTTTAGATGTGTATGTTTCTCACGCATGTAAATCGAACGTGTTTCACATACGAATTTCCGATTCGTACTGTATTCACATGTTGGCCATGTGTTGCTACTTGCGTGCTGGCATGTAAATATGCACGGCTTGGAACTTAGAAGGCAAGAGGAGAGAGTGTCCCGATATTGCGCTATTGCTCCTGAACTAGGTACATGACCATATTGGCCGCCCCCCTTCCCTAATTTACACTATACGAGACAGCTCCGGGGGAATGATCTCGAGGCCCAATGTGTTAGCTTCGGCGTGTAAAAGAAGACGAATGCGAAATACGATGACAAGGCGACGCAAACTCTGCTCGGACAGATGTACGAACACAAATCGGCTGAGCGAATTGCTTTCAAGAAACAAGCTGGACTTGAAATTGACTAGCTGGACAAGCCGAGAGCACCACGGATACGAAAGTGCGCGCCAGCACCCCCCCTTCCCTTTTCGAACACATATACAACTACACACAGCAAAACTGCACCTTGTTGCGGGGACCAAGGGTGGCAATCGTAATTCGATTTGGCGCGTCGGTCGGTTTGGGTGGACGGACACCGCCCTACGACCTAATTACCATGGAAGGCGATGGTCGTGCCGACGACGTTGCGTGCCAAGCGTGGAAGCGATCACCACGTTTCACGGCGAGGCTTGGCGGCAGCCACAAGAAAAATCAGAACGCGAAAAAGCGCTCACCCTCGGACGGGGAATCGGGCACGAAGAAGAATTTGAAAACGCGGGGGATCGGATCGAGAATTTGCTGCTGGGGCACAGGCGGGTGAGGGAAGCGGGCTGCGCGAGGTCGGGGCCCCCAGGCATATGGCTGGCTTCGCTGAGCCAGGGGATGCGGGATGTCGGCGGGGAGCGGCCCAGGGGGCGGGGCCTCGGCGATGGGCAGCGCGGGCAGCCGATGCTTCGCGAAAAGGGGGCACGTACAGAACGGCACTTAGCGGCCGGGGCGCGGTACACGTTAGGGGCGCGAGTGGCGGCACCCGACATGCACCCCGCCCCGCTGGCCAGGTGTAGTTCTATGAGTGCTCCGTTTTGTGGGGATGTCTCCGGCCAAACCAGCACGTACAGAACTACACCTAGTGCCTGGCTAGGTGTAATTCTGAACGCTCTGGATGTCTCGCGCGGGGCGAGCACGTACAGACAGGCACCTAGCGAAAGGGGCGGGGTACACGTCGGGTACGTCGTCGCGCCCCGCCCGCAGAGTCAGGAAGGCAAGGGCCGTTGAACCCCCTGCCGGCCTCCGGGCGGAAGTGTCTGAACGTCCCGGGGCTATCAAAAGGAATTACAACTGCTGCCTCCGCCCACATCGCTCCCCCTATCAGAGTATCTCGGATGGTCACTATGTTCCCCATTCCCGCCCGCTGCTTTGCCCTCCCCCTCCCCCGTTCTTCCTCTACCTGCCGCCCTCCATTTCCCTGCGCGTTTCCTTGTTGCCCCTGGCCCCTGCGTGGCGGCAAACGCCCGCGCCCCCCCGCAGCTGAAAGACTCACCTTGCGCTCATCCTCCAATCCATTCGTGAGGCGCAAGCCTTGATTCCAGACTGACACAGGCAAGGGACGCCGAGGCCCCAGCAAATCCAACAGGCGCGATCGGCCCCCTCGAATGGCGGGCGAACCAATACGTAAGACGATGTCGCAAAAGTATGTTCGGAATTTCGGGATCCGCGCAAGAAGCTAATCCACTCGCCCAAAGTGTAGTTCTATGCCTGTCCGACCTTTGACCTCCCCAACCAAAAGCCCCCCCCTCCCCCCTGCCTCCCCCCTTTGGCTCCGCTCCCCCTCCCCTCTTTTCCCCCGGCGACCCCTGCAAGCTACCTCCCCATCCTCCTCCCTTTCATCTCCACGGTCGGAAGTCCCCCTCCCCATCCCCCCTGTATGTTCGCCCCACGCAAGTCCCCCCCTTTCCACTGACCCCCCAGCCCGAAGCAATACCATTATACTCGATTCGTCGCACGGCAATGCCTGGGCGGAGAGGCGAAAACAATCCGGCCCTAGAATTCGCATCACATGGTAACGCCAGGAGCCGGCAACCATACTATTCCACTCTACTCGTCACACGGCAACGCCTGGTGGGGCGACAACAAGCTACCCCATGACTCTCCCCACGCGGCAACACTGGGGGCGGAAAACATGCTATCCTACTTTACCCGTCACGTGGCAACGCACAGGGGATCCTGCTCGAACCATCACTTGGCGACGCAAGAGCCAGGCGGCCGGCCAGAAAGCTTCGGAATCATTCGGGCTCGTGACTTCAGCAACCCGAAGAAACTCCCAGAGATCGTAGAACGGTCGGACCCTGTATTACCTCACCCGCCACATGGCAACACATGGGGACGCAAAATAGTATTCTACTCGATCCGCTTCGTAGCAACGCAAGAAGACGAAACAAGTGCCAGCTTACATCGTCAGGTAGCAACGCCGGGAAGCGAAACCAAAAAGTGGGTTGCTCCACCCGTCAAGTGGAAACGCCTAAAGGGGCAGACCTCACGTACCATCATACTCGACTCGCCACGTGGTACCGCAGGGAGCGGGAAAAATCATTGTTCTACTCGTCACGTGGCAACTCACGGAGGGGCGAAATAACTAATATCTCCCAGCAGCGCCTCAACTTAAAGGCCTGTGCGTCGGCGGCTCCGTGCCGACCGTGGCCGCCCTGTCGCCGCCTCGTCGCATCCCCATCGCCGCCTCGCAAATATTCTCATTCATTAAGAAGAATTAGGATATCCCCCCCTCCCCCCCGATTTAACGGGTCGCCTTTACGTATTGTTTGTTGCACCTGATTCTGCACACGGGTCCATCCGAACTATATGAATTCATAACACCCCAGGCAGTCCGGTTATCGACCCCCCCCTCACCCTCTGCAAAGCATCACTATGCGCGCACACTCGTTTATCAAAACAGCATCAGTTTTCAGCATCCGCTGCAAAAAAACAGAGTGCACACGCGCTCGTCGTCGCGCGCGCATGCCGAACTCCTTCACAAACCTTGGGTTTTGCATGGGTTTCAATATTGGAGAGAGTGCGTTTCACGGGGGCTTGCTTGCATAAAATTCGGGAGCGGCCAAAAGGGGGATGTCCAGGAGGGGGGGGTGCAAATCATGACCGGCGACATGTGCGCGGCCCAGCGGGGGGGCCAGGGACGTAATGAAACAAGAAGAGGCGCCCTGAAATCTGGGGAAAATATCATGGCCCCCGCCATGATATCCACCCCCCCCTAGTCATCACCCCCCCCTTTGCCGCACCCGATTGGATAAAATGCCCGCCCACCCACCCACCCCGGAAACCCCAAGGGACGGGGGTAAACTCCCCCCCCTCGGGTTCGAACGGGGGGGGGGGGGGACAAACCCCCCCGCCTCTGGAGAGGGGGACCCCCCTTTTGGGGAGGGGAGGGACCCCCCTCCTCGGAACGGGGGAGGGGGGCGAAAGGCGGCGACGACGACGACGACGACAACGGCGACGACGACGACGACGACGACGACGACGACGACGACGACGACGACGACAACGACGACGACGACGACAACGACACGACAACGGCGGCGCCAGCAGCGAAAACAACGACGACGACGAGGGCGCGCCGACTACTACGACGACGACGACGACGACGACGACGACGACGACGACGACGACGACGACGACGACGACGACGACGACGAAAAACACGACGACGACGACGACGACGACGACGACGACGACGACGACGGCGATGCCGACGCCGACGCCGACGCCGAGCACGACGCCGAGCACGACGCCGACAACGACGCCGACGCCGACGCCGACGACGACGACGCCGACGCCGATGCCGACGACGCCGACGCCAACGCAAACGCCGACACTGACGACGACGACGCCGAGCACGACGCCGAGCACGACGCCGAGCACGACGCCGACAACACGCCGACGCCAACGCCGACGCCAACGCCGACGCCGATGCCGACGACAACAACGACGCCGACGCCGACACCGACGAAGAGCACGACGCAGAGCACGACGCCGAGCACGACTCCAGTGCCGACGTCGGCGACGACGACGATGACGACGCCGACGCCGACGCCGCCGACGATGACGACATCGCCGACGCCGACAACGACACCGAGCACGACGCCGACGCCGACGCCAAGCGCGACGGCGACGCCGACGACGACGACGCCGCCGGCGCCGCCGCCGACGACGAGGATGACGACGAGGTACCCCCCTCATCTTGAAACTCCGCAGCTCGAGGCCCACCCCCCTATCCTCAAGAATCCCATAGAATTCCGGAGGACCCGTCGGAACATTCATAAAACCCTCTGGATTTCCACGATCGTCTACTGTCCTCGTCGCGTTGCACCGCAGGGGGCGGAAACTAGAAACATGCTGCTCTTCTCTTCACTTGGCAACCCATGCAGGGCGAATAACTATTAGTACAGTCTATTCCCCACGTGGCGATGCAGGGGGCGGGAGACAGACCATCCTACGTCACTCGTCAAGTGGCAACGCAGAAAGTTGAAACAAGTAATATGCGGCGTTCTGCTCTACAATGGAGACAACGCGCAACGACGACAACGACGACGACGACGATGACGACGACAGCGGCGA